TCTAAACAGCTTGTACACAAATATAAATACTTATTTTTACTTATTTTGTGTTTTTGTAGTAATTATAGGGAAAATATTACATCAGCAATTTTTTTATTACCCTTTAAATTGATTTCTGGAGATTATCCAAGGTGCTTCATGACCAATAATTGGGTCCCAAGCCCAACTTTGGGAACCAAAGTGCAGTGGTTCCCAAACTTTTCAGCTTTTGACCCACAAAATAACAGTAGCAGAGACCTGTGCCCCCAGAAAGTTTTGGATGATAAACATTTGTAACAGGTCAACAAAACATGGGCATAGTAACAATATTTATTGTACCACATTTATCCATTTTCAATATACTAACCTCAGTAATTTGTAACAAATAAGGCAAAAATGTAATTGATTCAGAAAATCTTTTCAGGACCCCATGTTTCGGGACCCCACTTTGGGTCCCGACCCCAACTTTGAGAAACAGTGCTATAGAGGGTCATGTGCCCCATCATCTTATTGGTTTGGATGCTTCGAGATTTTATTTGTCTAGATCAGAACTGCCCAAAGTGTGGCCCGCAGGCCAAAATTGGCCCACCAAGCCATTTGATTTGGCCCACCAGCAGTTGTCCTGGCTCCTAGGGTGTATTCTCCTGTCTTATGTAGAAACACTATATTTCCACTTTCATTTCGACCAATGATCCAATTATACAAGGAACTGTGCTGCAGATTGTCCTAACTACTTCTGTGTAATTTATTGTGCATTATATTAAGATTAATCATAAAATACAAGTAACTTTGAGAGGCATTTAGATTAGAATTAAGCACACGTCTAGGTTTGCATACCTTTTTAAGATCACAAATCTTTCAAAATTTTCTACATCTAATTTCCCTCTGGGATCAATAAAGTATTTTTTTTTATTAAAATGAGTTGAATTGAAATGCAACAATTTTAATTTATGAAAAGTCTGACCACACTGGCTGCCAGCTTAATAATAAAAAACCAACAACTTTATTTAGGAAGTATTTGCTTTTCATATATAAATACGTTTGGCCCGCAGCCCTCAGATTGATTTTTATTTTGGCTCTCTCATGGAAAATGTTTGGGCAGCCCTGGTCTAGATGTTTCTTTTATTATAGATTTATTTGTTTATTTTTTTATTTATTCATTTAAGGGCCTAAATCTTTGGTGTTTTATAGGTTACTGAAGTTGGTTTTCTGGTTATTTGGTGTCGTGTTATGTATATGTAGTGAGTGCAAGCGGAGTTCAACGTCCCCTTGTTTTTGTCTCTATTTCCCTCTTTGTGTTGGGTATCGAGAGGACCTACTTATTTTTTCTTTTTGATTTTTCCTACCTGGATTACTAAGATGCATCAGGACATCAGATCCTAAATACGCGCAGATGTTTTTCACGATATCTTGTGTGCACGAGTACATTTAGAGCATTKGTGTACTCGCTGTGATCCATTTCTCTGTTTTGAACTGGAGCAAATCACTTCCTGCCCCCATCTGACATTTGCCCGTCATCTGGGTCACACGACTGCAACCCAGCAATTAGACAGGTGGGCTTAGATAAGGAACAAGAGGTCACAGGAGATTGCAGGTCATAAAACAGGAGGACACTCAGCTCCTTTGAAGGAGAGCCTTTAAAACCCTGACAGCTGTACAGAAGTTCAGTTCATGCTGCCGACCTTGTCTGTATTCAAACTCCTTGCTGCAAGTAATAAGTAAGTAAGTTTTATTTATAAAGCGCCTTTCACAGAAATATATTCACAAGGTGCTGTACAATCGTCAACAATGTAAAAATGGCAGAAAGGTAAAATGAAACAGAATAAAACAAACAACACGAAACATCAAATCAAGAATAAATTCTAAAATTGTAACTCAGACACACGATCGAGCATGACAAGACATGAGTGTTATGTATGCAAGACTGTACAAATGATAATAAGAGAAACTGTTGACTAAAAGGTGGGGTTAAGCTAAATGTACACTGATACAAAAACAGAGAGAAGGGGGAAAGAGAAAATTATGCCGTGTGTTCAATAAAAGAAAAGCACATAGTTGGCYAGCAGTCACTAAATGGGTAGGCTGCCACCACGAGTCTTAAAGTGAGTTTGGGGAACTTTTAGGAGATTTTGATCCTGTGAGCGGAGGTCCCGTCTGAGGTTGTAAGTGGAAATGGGACTTTTAATGTATTCAGGTACTTGGCCATGAAGAGCTCTGAA